TCCACGGTGTATATATTATAATACTAGTAAACACATCTCATTACAATAATTATGGGAACCACTCAGTATTTTAAGAAAATACAAAATAACAGTAACTCTGAATAACATTTTGATTTTTAATCGACGTTTCGACTAGTTTGTAGTCATCCTCAGGATTAAGAATAGTGTAAAATTACAGATGCAGCTATTATAAAGCCAAGAAAGGCGGAGTTTTAAATGTCAATGAAATATGATAAGTTCTTTGGAAGCTTTCGCACCATGGTTGAGATCAGGTTTTCGTCTGCGTATAGCAAGAGACTCCTTAAATAACAACAGAGACCAGTGGTCTGACCTATCAATTATTTTACAGTTCCTAAATATTAGTTCAGTTAAATTAGTGTTTATAGGATTAGTTAAGTCAGGTGAAAGTTCCATAAGGGATTTGATGTGCTGAAAATGTTCGCAACAGTTGATGTGGGCGTTGATTTCCGAGTTTTCTCGCATGCTATGCTCTTTAAGACGCCTGTATAGACAGCGGTCTGTTTTACCAAATAATGTAGGTGCTTTGGCAACCCGGACATGAAAATTCATATACAACAGAGCTTTTGTATTCATCCGGTGTCTTGTCGTTGCAGGACAGGAAACAATTGGAGTTTGTGGTTCGCCATTTCAAAGAACTTATCATATTTTATTCCAGTCTGCATTCTATATACTAGAAACCTTTGTTTTAAAGATGATACTAATGAGTCGGTCAGAGTCAGACATGACAGACAATCAATCTTGGCTTGTAAATTTATAAACAAGTTATTATTATTGTTATTGTTGTTATTATTGTTGTTATTATTATTTTTATTAGTGTTATTATTATTATCATTATTATTACCATTACTATTATTGTTATTATGATTACTACTGCTATTAATATTAATATTATAAAATCTATTTTTAAAAAAATCTAAAGAAAATTGAAAATTCAGCTTGATTTTTTTCAAGACCAGCTGCAAGACCAGACTCTTTGTTATTGCTCTTCTGTACAATTCCAAATTACAAAACAACAAAAGTTTATTACTAATTTTGAATTTGATATTTACAATTACAAATTACAAAATAATATGGGTCGTTCCAGAAAAGATCCATACTCCCGCCACTGGAATGACCCAATGTCCAATGACCACAGGTTCACAGCCTACAACACTACAGGCTGTCAGTGTCAGGCAAACCAGGCACACTCCTGAACACTGAGTCACTGACCTCATGCATTATTCAAATTCAATATAATATAAATATAATGTACAGTGTTGGTAGTGTTATGTGTCATGTATATATTTGATGACAGATTGCCAGTTTGTTTGAGTTGATAACATGAAATGTAAACCAAAGTGAAAGTTGAATTTCGAAAATCAAATGATTTAATTTATAAATAATTCATGAGAATTCATGATGATGAATCAGGACTGATTCAGCAAGTTAGCAATCACCATGAGAAATAAAAAGCAAAGAAAAACTTTCCTTGTGGTGACTGGTGAAAATTGTAAATGAGATGAGCATTAAATTGGTTGACTTACCATAAAGATTAGTTTTGCCAGCGCCTAGCGACTCTTAGCACATGTTTACAGCCTTCAGGTCTCGGAGCAAACACTATAACAGGGCTCTGGGGGGACTGGGAACGAGATCTTACGACAAGTATACCCGGGGGCCGGGAATCGCGAATATATACGGTTTTATTTCCAAACAGATGGTTTTCTGTTTTTCATGCTTTGTCGGTTCAATTACAGAAAACAGAAGAAATTTTATTTGCTTGTTGACAGCAATTGTTGTACACCATTTCTTAATCGGGAAAATTCCTCTTGTTTAATATGCCAGTTTCCCCGCCAAGAACAGCTTAGATGCTGTGATGCCCGCCAAGTGTTCCTTGGCGGGGTCATTCAGACCTTGCTGCCCGCCAGAGATCTGTGGCGGAAGGGCCCCCGAATGCAGACTGGATTTTACTGATATTAAGCTCTGCCTTTCTTGGCTTTATAATAGCTGCATCTGTAATTTTACACTATTCTTAATCCTGAGGATGACTACAAACTAGTCGAAACGTCGATTAAAAATCAAAATGTTATTCGGAGTTACTGTTATTTTGTAAAATGCTATTATAATGATTGCTATTTTCCTATTTATTTCAATTTTCAAGCACCATTTTTTAAAATTTCTCACATTATATTTATAGTTATTTTTATTTATATAGATATTAAATTCTAGACATACATCTACTGGTTCTCATGCTGGTGAGAAGAATACTTTCAAGTCTATAAAGATGATGATAAACACACTGCCTTTTCTAGCGTTTTCAAATAATAATCACCTGTGGAGCGTGGTCTATCTTTCTTTGACGGTTTACTTGACAATTTATTGTTCATTTTGTTCAATATACAATTCTCTTAATATTCCATCAGAATATCGTCTTTTTGTAACGAAGAAACCTCATAAATCCATGGAAAATTACATAAATACACACATTTCGATTTTGTTTTGTCCGCCATTTAAAAAGTAAACGATAACCATGGCAACAACGGGTACCAGTCCTATCACGAGAAAGGCGCGCTTTCAGTTCTCTGGGGGCGAAGGACGAAAGCTCCCCCAAGTCAAGGAGGGTGGAAAGGGGGGGGTATGGATCACGTTTCACAACGAAAAAAAGATTTACTTGTTTTAAAAAAGCAATTTCACGGAAAACTACATTCTCATAAAATAATATATAAATAATAGGTTTATTAAGACTATGTTTAATGCATGGTACAATGCAAGGCATTTTTTAATACCATGGACTGGTGGGGCATTGGAGGAAGGGTCCTCCGCCCCACCACTGCAGAAAAAAGTGGCCAAGTGCCCCAAAGCCAGGGCCCTAGGACCTGTATTGAGTAAATGAGTTTAACATTGAAAAAAAGTTAAAAAAACAAAATTTGTTGGTGAGCATACTTAAACTCATGTTGTGTTTGAATGTTTAGCATGCAATTTGTTACAAATTTCACCATTAAACTTTGTTTTGAGAAGCTGATTTTTTTTATTTGAGTTTTCAGAAAGCAGGAAATGCTATTTGAGAGAGCCAAATTTTAAAAATTCCCCGGGAGCCATGCCCTCAGACCTCCTAGCTACAGCATGCTGGATTATCTAATTAGGGGCAAAACGGGCATTTGCCATCGGCCCTATAGATTTCCACCGGCCAAAAAAAAAACTGGCGAATTACACTCGATGGTTCCAACAACCTCAATTAATCCAGTGTTTACAATAACAAATATATATGCAATGTAATACTGTGTTCAAATTAAAAACAAACACTCACACGTGCATTTTTATAATATAAAATATTCCAACCATACGACATACATCTCTAAGCGGACGAACTGCAATATGAGTTTTATATATGTCCGAACTAGCCAGAGAAATCGGACTTTTTCACAGCCACGGGCGCATTCGCATTTTGTGACCGGCCATTAAAATAGTATTGCCCACGGTTCACATCTTCGGCAATCGCCTACTATCCTCGGGGAGGGGGCGGAGCAAGGAAAATGGGCCCTTTGCCATTTTTGCCCCACCACTGGAGAATCCTTAAAAATTGCACCGTGGTACAGTAACTACGCTTAAAAAACTCATTAATAATTCAGGAGGAACATACAAAGAAAAATCATAAGCGTGTCGTGGTTTTATATATGATAAAAAATCGCGTTAATTTACATAAACTTTAGTTTTGATTTTCTCGGTTTAGACAAAGTTTATTTCAAAAATTACTTCGCTAATGTACTCATCAGAAGATGGGTCGTTTTTTAAGCTACTTAAAGCACTCGTAGTCGTGTTTTAAATAGTACTTTAAGTTCTCTCATTTCCCTACCTGTCAGTTAAAAACTACATAAGAACTTATCAGTTTGGGTGACGATCAATGCACGACATTTCCCTACCTGTCAGTTAAAAACTACATAAGAACTTATCAGTTTGGGTGACGATCAATGCACGACAACCTCCGCGCGTGTCCTCAGCGTGAGGAACCTTGTCCTCAGCGCCACGAACCTTGTCTTCAGTGTCAGGAACCTTGTCCTCAGCGTGAAGAACCTTGTCCTCAGCGTCAGGAACCTTGCGTTAGCGTCGTAAACCTTGCCCTCAGCGACAGGAACCCTATTCTCAGCGTCAAGGATCTTGACAACAGCGTCAGGAACTTTGTCCTCAGCGTCAGGAACGTTGCCCTCAGCGTCAGCAACCTTGTCCCCAGAGTCAGGAAGCTTGGAATCAGCCTCAGGAACCTTGTGATCAGCGTCATGAACCTTGTCCTCATCTACTGGAACCTTGTCCCCAGTGTCAGGAACCTTGACCTCAGCGTCAGAAACCTTGTCCTCAGCGTCAGGCCCCTTGTCTTCAACGTCATCAACCTTGTCCTTAGCGTCAGAAACCTTGTCATCAGCGTCAGAACGGCCTTGTCCTCAGCGTCAGTACCCTTGTCCTCAGCGTCACAAACCTTGTCCTCAGCGTCACAAAACTTGTCTTCAGCTACAGGAACCTTGTCCTCAGCGTCAGAAACCTTGTCCTCAGCGTCAGAAACCTTGTCCTCAGCGTCAGAAACCTTGTCCTCAGC